GGTGAGTAAAATAAGAAATATTTCATTACAATCACGAATGCCGATTTTTTTTTTTTTTTTTTTTTTTTGCAGTAAGATTTTTGAAATTTATGATATTTCTTTTCTTGCTTGTTTTCTTTCGAAATTAATCTTTCTTTCATTCTAAAGCAGCTTTTCCTTCATTTTTTCTTTGTAAAACAATATTTCTTTCTTTCTTACAAATGTAATCATTCTTTCTTTCTTTCTAGCGAAATTAATCTTTCTTTCTTTCGAAAGTAGTCTTTCCTGCTTTCTTTCTGTCTTTCTTTCCTTCTTTCTTTCATATGTAATCAATCTTTCTTCCTTTTTTCCCAACAAACTATTCTTTGTGCTTCATTTAAAATAGATCTTTCTTTCTTTCTTTCTTTCTTTCTTTCTAAAGTAACCTCTCATTATTTTTTCGAAATATTTCTTTCTTTATGTCCAAAGTAATATTTCTTTCTTTCTTTCTTTTTTTCTTTCCTTCTTTTCTAACAAACAAAATCTTTCTTTCTTCACGCAGGAATATTCAAAAGAGAACATTTTTCTGTTCGTCAGAATAATTTCGGCGACTGATCGCGTATGAAAAAATGGAAAAAAGTTTCGTTTTTTTTTTTGTTTTTTTTTGGAAGCGTGACAATTTTGTCTCTTTATATCACTTGATAGTATCCCTGCAATAGTCCTTAAGAAATATGCTCCTGAACTAATTTCTGTTCGCTCTAAAATAAATGCCTTGTAGCTTCTTGCTCTCCTGCTTGTTTAAAATCCTTTTATGTCATCTATCTCCATAGACTTATGTTTGAGTTTTTTTTTTAAATCCCTTGCAGGCCGCTTTAGGTAGTCTCGCTGGCCGCGTTTTGTGCAGGCCTGGTTTGTATTCAGGAAAAATATATCTTCCGGTTTCCTCAAAAACCTCATCAATCTTTCCAACCACAAACTTAACAAACAAGGAAAAGAACGTATTAAGCTTTAACCAAACTGTTATTTTTGCACCAATTTCGACCGCATCACAAATAATTTGTCGCATGTTGAAGCCAAATTTGTTGAAAAACTATCCGAAGTTTGTTTTTCTTCGAGTACTTTTGACTTTTTTCATTATTAGAGACGTTAATATGGTTAGTGTCATGGAGAATATGTTTATTAGCTTCTTTGTAGCATTTTCTTTTTCTTTCTTTCTTTTGTTTGTTTTCTTTCTTTCTTTCATTCCTCTTTTTCCGTTTTCTTTTTATCATTAATATTTTTCATTCACTATTTCTTTTTTTACTTTTCTTTCTTTCTACCGACTTTTATATCAAACTTTATTGATTTTCTTCAGTTTTTTTAATTGTTTTTTCTTCCCATGATCCTCTATTTTATTCTTAAAACGTTAAACCAAAAACATCTGTTAATCATCAAACGACGCAGTCGTATTATCCGCGTTTAAGGGTGAGTGTTGAACTGCCATTAATATGTTACTTCATTAATGCTAAAACGGCGTATTTTTATGCACCACAAGACAAAGTGGATAAAAATGTTGCTTTGGGAATTTGTTGACATAGTGGTTGAAAGTTCAATCCCTAGGTCGGGCTATGTGTACTTGCATTCAGTGCAAACGGGTGAGCAATAACTGAATAGTACTAAATAAAATAAGAGCTAGCCGATATCCTTATACATAGAACGAGAACAGTCGACCTCCGTAGATAAAAGGTTCAGTTTAAAATTCTCTGTAGGCTACCCAGATCTATATACCCCTGAGGAAGGCTGGAGGACACAACATCTGAAACGTTGTCATTACAACAACAAAGATGAGGACAATAGTCCGAATATAAATAGTGCAAATAATTCTTTTCTTTTTTTTTTTTTGTTTGGTTTAAAAATTTCATTATTTTTCATTCTCCTTTTTCTTTGGTTTTTATATCCTATGTTCATACTCACTTTCTGTGTCTCCTCAAGACATCGGCGATCATGGCTCGCCACAACTTCCTATTCTTTGTTGCTTTGAGAACTGTTTGTCTCCTTACTATCCCTCCCCGTCCTTGTTCTGTCACCCATTTAGACAAGTTCATTAAGAAGGTTACTCAGCATTTCAACTCTCTCTCTCTCTCTCTCTCTCTCTCTCATCTTCAGTATGTCCTATGAGCATTAAATTCTCCAAGCCCCTTTTCCTCATTATGTGTCTACGAAATTTCAACTATCTATTTTTTATTCTGTGTGTTTCGTTCCTAATTGGCTCAAAATTTCCTCAGTGCTCATACGCTATATGCTATTCCCAGAATCCCTCTGTAGAACCACATTTCCGGTTTGTTAGGGAAATTGGGTTGACGGTACTATTTGAGAGTCGTTAATGATAGGGGTTAGCACGAAGTCACAAGTCATCGTGATCGAGGGTATGAGCGTACTGGACGTGTTCAACTACTGATCTCGCTTTATCACAGAAAATGGAATTAAGTTACGCTCAGCCTTCTTCTTTTGCGTGCCGTGTCCCTTCAGGACGTTGACAATCATGACTCTCCACAATTTCTTGCTTTTGTAGCTCTTTATAAATTTGTAAATTTTGTCTTTTCGTTATCTTCCCTAAATCTTCGTAGTTGCTCACATGTTCAGTCCATGGTATTCTCATTATCCTTCTGTAGAACCACATTTTTATTTACATTGTTCGGGCTGTTGTGCTCGTTTTTATTATCATATTCATGACGTTTCGACCGTTATAGGCCCCGACATTCTTCAGATGATATACGTTGGAATTTCGATCTACTGGGATAGATTGTTCTAGTTCCACGTGCCATGCCTTTTCTGGGTATTTCAGTTTCAGTTATTTCCCTTTAGTAACTCAACTC